AAAGCATGGTTTTGAGTAAAGAAGATTAAAATACATTTTTAAAAAAGACCTACACCTTGTCTTCCAGGACTCACAATTTAATGGAAAAGATAATGACGTCACAAGTAAGTATGAGTAGTACACATTGTAGAATTACACACTGTAGTATTCATGGTTACTTGTGATGTGACCATCTCTTATCACAGTCTGCCTTATACTGTACAACCATGCTGTGATAAGAACATAGTAAAAGCGACAAATGTTGTGATAAAATCCAACTTAACCTCCTTAGCCTTGACTATAACGCCTTTTATAATCTGGTTCCAGCCTCTAGTCTATCCCATTTATTCATACATTTCTCTATGGCGCTAGACTGCAAGGTTGGTTTAAACCACAGTTTGGCAGTTCAAACTCCCCAGCCGCTCCTCGGAAACCCTATACAGGGTTGCGATGAGTCAGAACCGTCTCAACGGCACTTAAGAACAACATAATGGCTAATGGCATAAACTGTGTGCCAATTAAAGAGTTCTGATCATATGTGGATTATGAGCTGGGCTGCTAACCACAATGACAGCAGTTACAATCTACCAGTCACTCAGTGGACAAATGATGAGGCTTTCTGCTCCCGTAAAGACTTGTTGTTGTCATGTGCCGTGGAGTCGGTTCTGACTCATAGCGACCCTGTACAGGGTTTCTGAGGCTGTAAATCTTTACAGGAGCAGAAAACCTCATCTTTCTCTTGTGGAACAGCTGGTAGTTTCGAAATGCTGGCCCTGAGGTTAGCAGTCCAATTCGTAACCACTATATTACCAGAGCTTTTTCCGTAAAGACTTGTTGTTAAGTGTCAACTCAATGCCAATCCATAGTGACTCTGTATAGGGTTTCCAAGGAGCAGCTGGTGATCTTGAACCACCAACCCTGCAGTTCAAATGACTTTGCAGTCTGACACATTAGCCCACAGTGCCACACCAGGACTTACAGCCTTAGAAATCATATGTAGAGTTGCTATGAGTCAAAACCGACTTGGTGGCACATAACCATCACCACCACCATGTGCCAACTGGTCACCTATGGCACCTAACAACAACACTCAAGGTACATATTGCATAATGAGGTAGCAATTAGTCAAATACAGACTGGTGTTACAAGACACATAAGCACAGGGTGCTATGGAGGGGCCCACCCTAACTAACTCAGCTTCGAAGAGTCAAAAAACAATTTTTAGAGGACTGGATTGGTGTTCTAATATTTAAGGAACTGAAGTTATTGAAGAAGGAGAATAGGAGTAAAGAGAAACAGGGAGTTTTCTGGAAAAAGGAGAAAGCTTCCTTGGAGCAGAAGCTTAGGGTAGGAGGTGGAGGAGCACACAATAGTTAAGAATGGAAAAATAAGAAGCTGGATCATGAAGATATTTGTAAGCTGTAAGGGAGTTTAGACTTCATTTTAAGGACAAGGAGGAGCTGTTCAAAGAAGAAGGAGAGCTGAATGTACAGACTTGTGCTTTGTAAAGATCCTTCTGATTGCAATGGAGAATGGACTAGAGAGGGGCAAGAGTGAAGGAAGACACAAAAGTCAAATTAGAGACTACTGTAGGAGCCCAGAGCAGAGATAATTGAGCTTGAACCGGTGGTGGC